AGACATGGCCCCATGGCCCCAAATGTGGGTAGTTCACTTTAAAACAGTAGCAAACAGGCATCGACACTATTGATGGGACGAAAAAGCAGCGACCTGGGCAATCCAGGTATGGATTAAAGTTATCAACTGACCTGTAGATTGTGCCTAATGCAATTCGGTCGAGGACAAGTCCCCATTTCATGGTCATTTGTAAATACAAAACATCGTTCGATACAACCTAGTCAGCGCTCAGAATGCGCTGTATCAAACTTTGCGCCGCTTCTGAAAATTCAATTTATTGTTCGAGAAGTAAGATTAATTTAGACTGCGGCTAACGTGTGAATGTCACGGAATTAGAGTGTTGCATAATCAAAAGCATGCCCACAAATTGAATATAACTTCTTCATCTTGGCAAATAACAGCATCAAAGGTTTAGTCAGAAACATGTCGCGCCCAGTTCTGGAAGTTTTCATACACCACATTAAACCAGCCAAGGCAAAAGTTGTCTCAAGCCACAGCGCCTATATCCCTTCGGAAAGCATGTCGGTCACAGGGCACACAGCCATACAACGTTGACATTCTGCTAGTGAGCGTCATTTCGTCTCGACATCGGCTTTGCAAACTTGATACACGCGGCCTCGAGCTGACCATACGACCGGAAGATATCAGAGAAGTTTGTATATAACCCAGATGGGTACTGGTAAGCCGAGACACTTGGCTCGTCGTCACCCATGCGGCAAACGAGAGAAGTTCTCACCGAGTGAGTGGGACATGGCCGAACCGCAGCATCGATAAAATAAAATAGGGTCATTCAATGCGTCCCCTTTGAACCCATTCCTTACAGTCAATGTTTAAGAAGGAACATCCCTGCATTTTACTGTTTGTTTTATCGGGGTGACAAGCGATATAAACTTTTCCCTCGTTTCAAAATCCATGTTATCAAAAGCCTCGCTATTGTATCCTCTGTGTATCGTTTTATTTTGTGTGTTTTTTTATGTGTTTTATTACTTTTCATGTAAATAGTTATAAAGAGAAACTATGAATACATCGACGCCTAAGGGTAGGTATACCTACCTAACATACATCTCTAAGTTGTTACAGCTCACACTTCTAATGCAGAACACCAATAATGCACAGTTGGAACAACAGGCTTGTGCTGATTCAGCCCACTGAAGGATGTTCCTATTCGAACAACGGAACGGGACTTCCTAGAGCAATATTGGCTTTAAATCATTAAAGCGTCATTTGGACATAGGCTGGCAACACTTAGTGCTGAGCTTCGAAGGCCCATCACTCAGAGATGAACGTATTTTCGACTCAGACGCCGCCTCGAGACGGTGATATTTCATGAGTAGATATATGGCTAGGCACAGGCGGTCGTAGCAGCTCGGTGTCCCGACTCCGAGTGTCGGAGGAGGAAGGCAGGGGGAGGGGTCTATTCACTCCAGAGTATCAGACTAAAGGGAGGGGTCACCTAACTCCAGAGCTTCAGAAAAGAGCGGGTGGTGGTCATTAAAGGGACCCTCCCACCTTAACATTAGTTTTGAGTTGAGATAGCCAAATTGGTGGCCATGGCCTGAAAATACCGGTTTGGGCACTCACAACATCGACAAATGCTTTAATTCGGAGATATGGAATTTCAAACTTGCAGTTTTCGGATTCTAAGGGGCTAATGCATTGGTATGCCCCCTTAGAATTTGTGACGTCAGCGGAGGTCTAACGCTTTTTAAATCTTTTACTAAAACGTTTGGTAGCACGCGGTGGTATATGCTGCTTTGCGCGCAACAAATGCCGCACTTTCAAATAAAGTCGCTAGGAACAGCGGAGATCCGAGAAAGTAAACAATAGTAAAAGTCTAATATCTTGAAAACCGGTGAATATTTTTCGATGAAATTTGGTAGATATTCGTTTTCGCTCTTCCTGAACCGAGCGACATCACTTTCATGCCAATTCATTAACTTTTTTGAAGGTGGGAGGGTCCCTTTAATTTTAGAGCTTCGGAGGAGGGCGGAATGGGCTCACTTCACTCCAGGGCGTTGGTATTGTGTCACCAATGCCATCCGCTGTCATCGAGAATGTCATAAACCAACCAAAATGTCAAAAAAAACCATCCAGAGTAAAAATTAAAAAACAGTGTCCGGTAGACGCAGAACGCCATGCAACACATCCAAATATCATTCATCCACCCATCCATTTGTCCATTCTTCTCGTCTCCCACTGCCATATTACAGTGATCTAGCCCTGAATGAAGCACGGAACACTACTGTGTACCGACCGGGGCCCAAAACAATACCCAGGGGCCGGCCCGAACCGAACGACAATCGGTGATCGTTTCGAGTGGCATTTGGGGACGCCGAGCGACCGCACTACGCCCTCTGGACGACACCCGTTGAAGCTGGTACGACAAATTGAGGTGTAGGGCCACACGTAATCGGATTAAAGTCGAATTTCATGCGTAATGATAAACGTAGTTCAGGATATTAATACGGTCAATAATGCGGTTTTGATGTTCAAAAGAAACAAATTCAGCGAATGTTATGTCAAGGTCAGATGACAATGTAATGCCTCAAAGTAATGTTAAGCTGCATGCCGTGCTCAACGGAGAAATGATATTTTCTAAGCTAGGAGTAAGGACTCTCCTAGAACGTTTTATTTCCCCAGACAGCTGTGTCCACAGGCGGCCATATTGGGTGAGTCAAACCGGATCCGGGAATTCCAGCCCGCTATCATAGCGTTAGCTTAACTGCAGCGACCGGACCTGATAAGCTGTGTAGTTGGGGTTATTGGACAGATGCAATGGGTGGGTGGGGCTGATGGATAAGCGACATGACATGACAGATCAACATAACATGACAGGTCGATAGTAATTTGTATTCGTTTGCGGGCTACACTGAGGTAAAAAATTGTTAAATACCAAATATTTCGGCTTTATTGAGTAGCCTCGTTCACTGGTTTAAAAACCAGTGAACAAAACCAGTGAACCAGTGAACAAGGCTACTCAATAAAGCCGAAATATATGGTTTTTAACAATTTTTTACCTCAGTGTAGCCCGAAACGAATACGAATTACTATCATTTACCTGAGGAAGATTAGAAATGACACTTCGTCAATCCTGATGACAGGTCGACGCAACAGGTCGGATGTAGGGTTGAAGGATGAATCCTTTATGTTCGATGGTCTTTCAAGCATCAAGCTTTTTTCCTTCCAACTTCGCTATCTTTATTATGCAATGTTTTTATCTACTGTGCGCTGTATATGTACTTGTTGTAAAATAACATCTTCTTCAGCAATCTTGGACATGCTTTCGAGCCACACCTACGATGGTTCCAATTAATTGTTGTTTAATTAAGTTTGGAGCATATTAGCCTTCACTTTGATCCCCCATCTCCATACATTTGGGACCAGTTGATACGACCCAGCGTGCATCCAATTCTCCGTTGAACTGCTCCCATTATTAGCCTGCCAGTGACGGTCACAGAGAGCACCTTCGCTGGGCGGAAATTCGCTGCCATTAATTTCTCGGCCGTCGGGAGTGTCTTTGGGCGGCTGTGTGATCCGCTGGCCACGTGTCGGCCCGGGGTTGTGCCCCCGGCCCCGGCCCCGGCCCCGGCGAGCCTGACAGATGGCCCGGCGCAGCGCCGGAGCCGGCGCCCGGCACTGCGCCGAGTGCGCCGCCCCGTGGCTCGACGCTCTATGATAGATTGCGGCAGAACAGGGGCTTTAATGGCAGCCTGCGGCGCGGCGCGCCGCTGCCAGGAGAGATTGTTCCACAGCAGCCGCAGCGGGGGAAGATTTGTAGATGGTGGCGATATCGAATGTCGATGCGCCGAACTCAGAGGTCAACAATAGCTCACTCTACGGGGGTCAGCCAACTACCGACCAACTCATAACGTATTTGCACGAGACTATTGAACATCCAGGACAACCCACGGACCGACCGACTCACGAATGAAGTCACAGACTTCGCTCAGGACCAGCCAGCTCACAGACCATTGTCTCAAATGGAGCCAATAGAATCACGAGGAGCAGCCAATGCCAATAAGCGATAGCCTATTTACCCACTGCCCAGGGGACAGCCAGTCGATTCTTGGTTCAATTCAGTGGTTCGATTCTTGTCGGACAATGCACATGATCTTATTGCTCCCTAGTCAATCGGAACGGCGTAGTTCCGGTTAATATTTGGTCCTAGATATGACGTTTTACCCACACCCGACCGCCCACGGCCCAACTAATAGAATTGCGGACCAGCTTATCGTCTCCACGGGGGACCAATCGACCCAGTCATTGCACTGAACAAGTTTGGACGAAGTCTGGGGCGCTGACCTTTGAAATGGAGCTAGCTCAGCTTTTGTTGGATCAACAGTATTTTTAAACGAAGTCAGATGATATTTTATGTGATATATTTGTATGTACATACGAGTACGTCTGAGAAATAAGAAATCAGCTTGTTTAAATGCATTCCTTTTACATTTAATTTTAAGCTTCGACCATGATTTGCACTACAGCATTTCCTTTGCAACGATGCATGCCTGCACGGCGTTTTGTTGTAATGGCGTTGATCATGTTGGCAAGCATATGAAATTTGTTGTATGAGTGTTTGTGGTTGATAAGTGAGAAATTGAGCATAAAACCGCCGGACATCGTCATTCAAATCGGAAGTAAATTTTATGTAAACAAAGGAGCTTGGATTTTGGGATTTTACTATTTGAATGAGCTACCACTCACATAAGGTTCAAATGGCAAAAAAAAATGATTCAGTTGTGTTGTATATCAAGCTCGTTACGATACAATGTGCACCACAATGCGTCCTGTTGGGGCTGGGATTGCCTGTAACATTGGTAAAATAAAAGTTTCCCATACCTAACGGGAGTTGATACCTGAATTAACAAACATACACGATAAAGGCATTGAAACAACGATGTCTTCATATGGATACCAACAGGCTTACCGCAACTTTGAAGCAAGTTCAAAATCAAATTTCACGGAATCCCTTTGCTCAGTAGCTTCTGGGTGGCACTAACCTTCAGTTTCCTTTGTGTTAAATCTTGTGTCACGCCTCTCGAAGTACAAGCTGATTTCGAAGTCCTCTGGGTCCCAAGGCTGACGGAACGTGCCTTGGGGCGCCAGCTAACCTTGACCCTGACGACCCTCGGGGCGCGCCTCCGCCACCGCCGCCGTCTGGATCACAACAGCTCGAGAGCTGACCGGTCGCCCGACCGTCGCCGCCGCCTCCCCGTCGGCGTCTGCGCGGGCCCGTCGACGGACAGTCGTCGGGAACGACGCACGCCCGGCCCGCCGGCGGCGCAGGCACATACCGACAGGGAGCTGATGGGGGAGGTCGGCCCGCCCGCCCGCCGCACCGATCAGATTTGGGAAATGGCTGGGGAGAGGTGAATGTCTCGGCATCGGAAAAACCGTTCAGCAGGTGACTATCTGAAATGCCTTTTAGCACGGACTATCAATAGTCACTTCAGTTGGTGTTTACCACTACAAATGGCGTAAGCAAAAGCGACACAGTGACAGCACGAGGCTCTCACGAATCACGATTCGCTCCCACTTGCTTTCCTGTGGTTTTTAATGAAAGGAGATGTATGCTCACGGATGCCATGACTTTAGAAGGATAATACGCAATGAAATATCCTTATCGATGAGCGAAATTGACTGTGGAGTAATAATTAATATTATTCAGACTTTTGCATTTTTATTGCTTGGCCAACTTCCGCTGAGTTATGCCAGCCTGAAACGTCAAGATTTCGGCTGCATAGCCCCTAAATCCGTTGAAATATTGCGTCTCCAGTTTGGTCGTAACTTGAGGAATATCTTTATTTCCCATGAAGCGACCAACCGACGTCGTTTTAAGAGTTGATTTGCATTTAATGACAATGTTTTCAAAGTTATGTATGGTTATAACCAGATATGCTAAAAAAATGCTCGAAATGAAACCAGAAACATAAGGGTCAGTCGAATAACGTAAATATGCTATTAGAGTATTGTCCCGTTGCGACCCTACTTTGAGATCAGCATTAGGTATAGAGCGCTTTCAGCGCCAACTAGCTATTCGGTATGCTAAATCGTCCTTGCCAATCACAGCAAGTACCGGCTCTTAATTAATGCCTTTTTCCTCCTAAAAGTGCGCGTTGTTCACACTCGAACATACCATGGGAAAGTGTCCGGCGTCCGGGGACTGGTAAGTTTTATTTTGAATGTTTTACAGTAGAAACAAGTTTCACTGGATCATCTTCCATGACATCTCATTGAACCACGACAGCGCCATACCAGACCTTAGTGACTTCACAGCACCCGTTCATCATGCATCATACATGCCGATGACTCGGGGCTTTCTTTACATTATATACCGCGGTGGCGAGGGACCGGAGCTGTCACTGCTCAAAGTACGGCCGTCGCGGGTATTCCGACGGCTGACGGTACGGGCGCGTTACGACCGCGCTGGGCCGGGTCATCATGGGTCCGCTGGGCCCCCGAGGGTGGTGGAGGTACTGGAAATTGGGAGATGCGAGCCCGTTACCCGACTCCCGAGAAGTGAGCTCAGCAGGGGGCCGCACAGTGGGCGATCCGGCCGGTGTAGCCTCGCGAAACCTATCGGCATTCATAACATCCATGTTTTTGAAGCTTTAACCACAATATTTAGGAGCAACCTTCTTGAATATGCAATGAGCATATGTTTTAAATAAGGACTATCTCTTTTAGGATTTGTGCTCTGTGGCGAGCTTGCAATTTGCCTAATTGCCGCTCGAATAACGCATGAATACTTTTGAGGGTAGGTCGAAATTTATGACGATATGAGCTGGGTAGGACATTTAAATGGTGTGTACCTCCGTAGAAAATTGCTTCCAAACCAACTTTTTATCCAAACGATTATGCCGTACCAATTTATACATATCATGAAACAGCATAAATCTCGCCCGGCAACGCCCCATTTCATAACGTGACCCAAGCAGCGGGTTTGGTTTTTGGTGAATAACTTCGCAAAAAATGGCCGCAGAACCACGATTTTGACATCGTCGTGTTCACCTTGCTCAGGCGCGTCGAATGGTATACTTTTTGTTCATGTGAGGCCACCGTAAGGTGTTGACCGTAAGGTGTCGAGTCAAGGTCAGGTCAGAGGTCTTCAAATCACGAAGTTGGTCGAAGGAGGTCATACCGCATATCATTCGATTCGGCAAGTCTTTCGCAGTCCATTGGTGACCTTGTCGACTCTCTAGCTCAATTTGATCGGGAGTTATTGACGAAAAACTCCTATGACCCTAGTGACGTCATAAGGTCAACAATGCAAAAATGCAGCATCAGATCTTGCAAGGAGTGTATGAAGTAACGATTCCATGTACTTGAGACAATTGAATATCATTCCTGGCGCCAAAATAACAGTTTTCATATTTCCCCATTGACTTATAGGTGAGGTCACGTGATCAACCTGACTTTATGTGACATTTAGGAAAAATCTGAGATATAAAAGTTGTAAGACCTCTAAAGGACAATAAATCCTGCAAGTCTCACCTCCCTGTGAAAGTTACTCTGGCACTGAGAGCGTTGCAAGGTTGCGACATCTGAGGATCGTGCAGAGGTTCATTTATGACGTCATAGGTCAGTGACCTGACCTGACTTGAAAGTGCGGTTGGTGTCACAAGATCCAGCGTGCATCAAAGGTCAGGTATGCCAAGTTGCAGCTCTCTATTGCCTGGGTGTTTTGAGCTATCGCGAAAACACCCTTTGGGGCATTTACCACTTGTGCTGAAGTGCACCAAGCCACGGCCAACCCTTAGAAGAAAAAAGTGTCTGGATGCCAGGGCTGCAAGTGGCTGCAAATTTTCACTGGCTCCCCTAATAGATAGTGTCTTAGTGCATGCGATACAGCGTTATTTTCAGTTCATCCTCGTAAAACTTTTTTTGCTGGGCTTGGTTAATTCAGTGAACGTAAGGTTCAGTGGTAGAAAAAATATAAAAAAATAACCTAATTATGAGACATTTTGAGCTGATTTTGTCTACTTGCTTTCTATGGCGGAATCGTCTAAACATCTAAATTTCACTTTCCATGCAAAATGGATGCTCAACACCTAGCAATTTCATCGTTCCGCAAAATATTCAAAGAGCGTAAAAATCGGCTGTGATTATCCCCCTTATGAAGTGTTACGGAACGCTGTCTTTAACGATACTTTTGTCTACGAAAAAATGTCTCCTGAGCCATGCAAATGCACTAATCGTAATCTTTGATGAATTTTCTGTCGACTAGTATGCGTTGTTTTCCAATTCTCGGAAAAAAGTGTCTTTGAGGTTTCGCGAGGCTAGACCGGCCCGATCGCCTACCGTGGGCCGGTGAGATGCGAGGTCACCAACAGATTCTCGGAGGTACTCGCGTAATCTCAGTACGGAAGCTGTGGGCCGCGAACTCACTACCCTGCTCCTGGTGGAGATAAGTAATAAGTATAGAAAAGCGAGTGAAACATGCAAGAACCACTACTTCGCCTCCCCGTGCCCATTGCCACGATTGCTCTCTCCAGCCTCTGGAAACCAAACCTCATTCTGTTGTCAGTGGTGGAATCTTTCAGTTACAGGCAAACGCTTAGAATACTCGCCATGGAGCATGCCCATTATTAATTGTGAAAAGTCTCCGTTATTGGAGTATTTTACGTCTTTTGTCTACAAGTCCACCTCATCTGCATCATAAAATAACAAACCAAATAGAGCGCGGACAATATGGTGCAAGGAAATGAGAGCCGCTGAATCAGGTGCCCGGCGCCAACGGCCCATTATGGGACGGAACACGCCAGGGAAGGGGAGACGGGGAGGGGGACGGGGTTGGAGCGCACAGTGACACTGACTTCCGGGGATAGAGGGGCGAGGGATGCGGCGACGAAAACCTGGCCAGTTCGCATGGGTACGTAAAGGTTAAGTCGCGTTGAGTTTGTAGTATGATATAACGCAGCTATTAGCTAATAACACAAAATAACTATTTAACTTCAATCCTTGTTTTTGTTCCTGTCCGTTTTCTTCTGATATGTATACCTACCTACTAAAATGACCATTGGCCAGTTTTACCAACAGGAAAATAGCCGCCTGCCGGAATTTTATGCCTAAAGACCGCTTAACATACAGAGCGTAAACGCGGTGGACATGTAAGTGGATAGGGCTTTACCGTTTACGATCCGTATGTGAAGCGGTCTTTAGACAAAAATTCCGGCAGGCGGCTACATTTTGTATTTTTCTGTTGGTAAAACTGGCCTTAGATCCAGAATCAGCCTTCTGGTCCGAAGGTGTGCAATCGTCCATGGCTTCACATTTGTTATGCTTAACAACATTTTCAATGCAGGTAATGATTATACAACCCTTGTGCCCCAGCACATAATTCTGCTCCGACATGGTATGCATCCGTTGTGTGCATTGCGCAATATGCAATGCAACGGACAATCTGCGAGCATCTGGAACTAAAGCCGAAATCGTTGGAATAATGGAATAGCAGCAATATCAGCAGCAGGTTGTTCAAACCCGGCTTTTTCTCTCCATCGATAGCATTGGCATGCTATATGCTATTTACATACATAGTTGTGTTGCATTATGAAATTCAACTGTTACAGGGCATTTCCACTTTAGCTTCTAGTTCTCTTCCCTGTTTATTAAATATTTCATTAAGCATAATGTAAAAATTAATTCCTTTGCGGTTGAGCTTTGCATTCATCGAGTGTGGCATTGGAAAGGTCAGTAGTCGAAGTAACTCTACGTAAAGCTAATCGTGCAGGCCGCCACTACCACTCAATTATTAAAGTCATGGTAAACGACAAAGTTTATAATTGAGCGCTTAACATGTCCACCTGGCTCGACGCAATCATTATTATTCGCAAACTTCGGACTGCAGAGAGCGACTAAGGTCATGTGTTACTAGCCTAGGGGAACACCATAGTCCTTTGATGAATGTTCAAACGATTCGAGCCGGGTGCTTTTCTGTCGGCTCGGTGGTCGAGCGCACCCCCGGTGGAAATGCTGGTCAGGCAATAATTGATCATTCTAATTAATTACAAGGTCATGCTAATTTATGCTGTTAAAACCGCTTTCATCCAAGAAAACGACAATATTCGAGACAGTATTGATATTTTAATTGTCTTTAACAAGAATTCAGGTGATGCGGTGACATTGAGGCAAAAATAGAGTTCATCACCTTGAGCAATCGTGCGCCAGCACCGTAGGGTACTTATTATTGCAGAAAGTGAGTAGCTGAGATTCAAACTTTTTCCTAAAAAAAAAAACACCCACTATTTCATCACTCTCGCCACTTCTCATGTAAAAGACAACTCATGCATCCATAAACAGTTTATAAACACATTCATGAGGGAGTGTAATGTGCGTAATGGATCATCTGGAAAACTGTCAACTCTGTTGCAATCCAGACACGTTTTCACCACAAAGTGAGGGACTTCAAAGTTCCGACAAGGGTTATAACTACTTCTGACAATGAATAAGTGTCAACGAGGTAACAACGAGTTATGA